ATTGTGTTAGATGATACTAACCCTGGATGACAAGAACTGAGTAAAGAAGAAAAATGACTCCACTCAACAGAAAGAGGAGCTCTGAGAATGTAAGAGGCAGATGCTTGGTGCTACTGTATACTCAGACCTCCCAGGGCTCAGGCCACTGTCCCATTGAAAGCCTGGCCTTCGCATACTGCACGTCCAATGCAGGGCTTAGAACTCCTTACATTGTGGCAATGCTGCTGGGCTCAGAAGCACCTTAAGGACCAGTTGCATTCTATTTCGACTAGATTATCACTTGTCACAGCTCTTTGAGAGGAGTCAAGAGACAATTTTAAGCATCTAGCCATGGTTGTCCAGAATGATGGAAATTCTCTATGAACTTGATAGAATAACATTATTTAGAAATTATGACTGAATGAAACAAAACTTTATACTTTCTTTAAAAAACAACAACACATACACATGGTGGTGCACACCTATAATCTCTGGAATCTAGGAAGCCTAGTCAGGATGATTTCAAATTCGAGTCCTGCCTGAGGCATTTTGAAAGACTTTTTCTCAAAATAAAATGTAAAAGTTGCTAGGGCCATGGCTCTATGGAAAGCCCTTGAGTTCAATCTCTGGCATTACATGAACAGCAAATAATGATACAAAACAGTAACATTGTAAAGTAGATGGAATATGTGACTTGGGAAGGATGCTGGTGATTTTACTTTGTAGATTCTGGACCCTCAACTATTAGAAGTAATAAGTTCGAGGCCAGCCTGAGCTACATAGTGAGTTCCAGGTCAGTCTCCCTACATAGTGAGAGCTTTTCTCAAAAAAAAAAAAAAAGTATTAAATCAGAAGATAATCCATTCTCTTCCTAAGGTCCACTAATAGCTGTAAAACAAAAGTGGATGACTTGTACCCCTCAGGCAACATCTAGCAAGCGATGATGTTCTGTTTTGCCCTTCTAGAGTTGGCCACACAGTGAACTTTGGACAAGTGCTCAACTCAGGCCAAGCTGGTCCTTCATTTTGTCAGGCAATGAATGCGCCTAGAGGTCCCTATATAAAATAACCTCAGCTTTTGCATGGCTCTGTGCCTGACCTTCTCCCTAGATATTGAAGCTTCATTCATTTTTAGCATTCTGCTTCTGTTTCTCCTCCTCCTCCTTCTTCCTCTTCCCCTTCCTCCGCTGCCTCTCCTTGTCCCTTTCCTTCTCCCTCTTCCTCTCCCTCTCCTTCTGCTTCCTTTTTATGTACTGGGGATCAAACTCAGGACTTTGAGCTTGCTAGGCAGGTGTGGTGCCGTAAGCTACATCCCTGGCCCAACATTCCACTTCTACTGAAAATTTCCTTCTGCTAGAGTGACATCCTCCTGGCCCCTGCACAAGTCTCATCTGGGTCACTGGTAGGGATGTAGCTCATCATCATTAGAAAAAGAAAGCAAACATTCACTTGTGTTTCTAGTTATAAAAGTAACTAGAAAAATAATCCAGCTCTTCTTTATCAAAAAAATTCAAATTATAGTTTTTTAAATTGCTCATTCATTCCCTTTTGTCATGTAGTCAACAGTGAACCCAAGTACATTTGATTCTCAACCTATCAACCAACATTGTTTATTAATACTATTCTGGATTTGGGGGAATAGCTTTAAATAGCTCAATCCAAAATACAGCCAATAAAATGGCAGAAATAAAAGTAGAAAATCAATCAATGAATGAATAATTGCAGAGCAGCATTTGCTGCTACCACTTTGACCCAAATCATTCCGAATCTTAAAAATCAAATCTAAACAAAGCAGAACAAAATGTCAAAACATTGCCTTCTTTCAGTCTTATAAGTCAAGAGCGGCCTTTTAGACAGGGCACTCCAGGAACAGTTTTATTTGGGTAATGGACAAGGGTGAGGATGGCTGAAAGTCTGATACAACATCTCACTTTTGAAAATAGATTTTCAGGCTCTGTGTTGGCACTAAATAATTCCCATGTAGATTAAATTTTATAGTGTTCAAATGAGTAATATCCCCAGGGAGCCATCCACGCAGTCACTATTTATCACCTCTCCGTGGAGACAGTTTCAGTATGCATAGGTCCATGACATGCCTCGGTTTCACCTTATGAAAAGCAGTGACTCATGTACTGGTTTGGCATTAGACCTGGCACCAGTATTTAAGGAGCTGTCTCAGTATGACTAAATCAATAGAAACCATTTTACACAAGCAACAACGTATCAAATATTGGTGGAAATGAGTACAATGATATCAGTAAACTTCTTTGTATAGAAAAGTCAGTTCATAAAAGGCCTACTTTCCCCCTTCCCTCCACCCTCACAGGTGTTGACAGCTGAAAAATTGAGGGTCTGAGAGTCTGTTACTTAGTACAACAGATGGAGGAAGTGAGGATCTGGGGCTACCTCGAGGACTTCTGCATGATCTCAGGCTCTCTCCCAGCCTTCTCGCTGTCTAAGCCCTAAGGAAAACTAAATGGCCTGGACTGTTGGGAAGAGAAGACCTGAGTGCGGTTCCCGATATAACTATTACTGGTGCTGTTTTCTGTGTCAGCTTTTAGAGGTAGAACGTAAGGAGACGCCAAGTGCCGCTGTTAATGTTTCTCCTTACTCCGTATTGGAGGACCTGCAGTTGGGGCTGCACAGACAGGCTCAGTTTAATAGAGAGTTTCTCTATCCTTGCGGAGTGAGTCTTGAGAGTTTCTCTGATGAAGTAAAGAACAGCTGCTTGCTTCTGGGAGCTAACCACAGCCCACAGTCGAGGCTGATAAGAACTCAGAGAAGAAGTGACTTATTCCAAGGAAAGGTGTCCCGAGCTCATGAGAGAGGTGCAGCTGTCATACCAAGGGGTGGTGTGCGTGTGTTTGAAACACGGTGGTACCAGCTTTAAAATTCAACACCAGATGTTTGTCAGCGTCAGGAAATGCTCACTGTGAGCAGAAAACCCAGAAGAGAGATACAATTAAAGATGTTCAGAAAGCAAGAAGAGGAAGTGACCACCAGACAAACAGTAACGTCTAATCTAGCTTTGCTTGCCCTCCAGGGCTATGTCAATGTTGCCAAAACCTCCCATTGGTATTTTTTTTTAGAAGCTTAGACTTGTTAGCCGGAGTAAACAGAACCATGGGGGTGAGTCTGTGGAGAAGACGTACTTCTGAGCAGAGGAGCAGTCAGCAAGCCAAGGAAAGAAGTGAGGCTCGTGGCTGAAGTGAGCAGGCTACCGTGAGGTCGAATCCTATCTATGTGTATGAGCACTTCATGTTTCCAGGCTAGATCTTAATACGCAAACCCGAAATAATAATTGAATGCCCCACTTTAAGGAGCGAAGAGAAGATGAGCCGAGTTCTTCAAAAACAGTGAAGGCTAAGTAAACCGTGGCTATTACTTTTTTCCCCACACATGGTTCCTACACTGTCCTGTAGTGCTTGAGGCACGTGGCTTAAATGAGGTGAACCTGTGACGAAGTTCCCGCTAGAGCAGTGCGAAGTCTGGCAAGAAAAAGTCAAGATGTTAAATAATTTTCTCAGTGTTGATTAGCTGTTAGGCCTGGACTAAAACCACTACAAAGCTCCTATTTTTGTTTTTTAAATTTCATTCTGCTCTGTAAATGAGATGACCCCTAAGTGATTAAAAGAGGATAATTACATCTGTAATTTTCTTTACTTCAAAGTTTGAGCTGTAAGCCCTGTTACCTCTGTCCCAGTGGAGGTCCTGTGGGCCATATCCGTGCTGGTAGTCAACATAAGTACACTGCCTCACCTGCCTTCTGCCTCTCCCCAAGGTTCTCCCCGTGGTGTCGGGTAGGGATCCTGTGGAATCCTGAACGCTAGTCCTGGAGAGCCAGGACCCAGGGCTGCTTCTCACTTCCCCAATCCATAGTTCCTGCCTGTTTTCTGTATCTGGAAGCTGGCGTAGAAAATAGCAACAATAATAGTTTTATTGGGACTGTACTTTTCTCTTATGCCTAACACCCTGGAGTGTTTATTCTTCCTTAGGGCTCAGGTGAGCCATGGGCCATGCTGGACTTGATCCAGCTCTGAAGAGGGCAAGGTGCATCCTGATGCTCCCTGACCTCAAAGAAGGAAGCGACTAGTTCAAAGGGAGGGTACATAGTACACGCATTATACATGTACCCATCTTGGGAAACTGGTGCTCTGAGCATGTCTCTTGGTCACACATACTCATTGTAAAAAGAGGAGAATCAAAGGGTAGGGCACATGGTAATGAAAGAAGATGTTGGACTTGCTAGAAAGGAATCTTTTTCCGGATTTTTCATCCCTGAAATGGGGGAATGATATGTGAGGGGAGAATATATTCAAGTAAATATGGTACAGGACTGAGCGCGTCTGTAACTTGAGCCTGGGGTCTAGGGTAAAGTTCCTAACACTTGTGGCCCCCAGGCAAGAATTAACTCATCCTGCTCCAGGTTGCTCTCTCCCTGGCTGGGCCTGAATTCCAGACGGAAAGCTTTGTTAGCCCCTCCTGACAACCCTCTGCTGTTTGTGTGCTGCAGTGCTAGAGTGCCCACACCTTCTTTTCTGGGCGTGTATGTGACTGTAAGCATCCAGTTCTGGTGAGGAGGTAGGGAAGGTCCCAGTGTGCATTGAGACATGTGAGCGAATGCAGCCAGTGTCAGGAAGGGACGTCCTACTTTGCTGGGTATGGATATGGCTCGAATCTATGTACTTCATTCAGGAGTGATTGGTGGCTGATTCAAGTCTCTGAAGTCCCTGAGCAGTGTATGCATAGGCGTACATGAGAGCTGGGAACTCAGAGCCCCGTCACGACTTGCTTAAGTGGCACATGTGGTCAGTGGAAATGAACTCTCAGTGCAGCCCTGCAGCACGTGACTTCCTATTTCTGTAAGGTACTTCCAGGACTTCCTCTGTAAACCCAGCCTGGGTCCCAGGAGATTTCCTTCAGCGCCGTCTGTGGCTGAGTTTACTTTTTGCCTGGGACAGAAGTTTTTCCCGGAGATATGATGTTAGTTTCTTTTCTTTCTCTTTTCTCTGCCTTTGGCAGCATGCAAGGATCTTGTGGCTCCTGTTCGTGATCGGAAACTGAATACCCTGGTGCAGATCTCAGTAATCCACCCTGCAGAGCAGAGCCTAACGAGGTATTCCAGCACTGAAATTGTAGAGGTGAGCACGCTGTGCCTGCTTTCTGCCTCTCTCCCCCTCTCTCTTGCTCCTGTTTTCTCTCTCTGTCTTCCTCTCTCTCTCTCTTTCTCTGTGTGTCTCTTCCCCCCTCCTGCCTCTTCACCCGCTCCTGCCTCTGTCTCCCCCATCCTCCCATCAAACAGCTGAAATGAGTTCTTTCCATGTTGTGACTGTCGTCTGTCATTTAGTAACATATGACTGAGATTATTAAGCATGCATTGGTCACTTCCCAGAATAAACACGTGAATGAAGTACTTGTCTTTTTCATTAGGAGACTTTATCTTCCTTCCATACATAGTAATTCCCACCTTGCATTCCCAAATAGACAATAAAATAAAGAGAAAAACAAAAACCATATCGATTTTAAATGAAATATTGTGAACACATATTTTAAGGAAGAGGTGTAAAGTACTCGTAGGAGTTCTAAATGTATTATGTGTTTTGCTCGTTTCCTTTTTCCCTTTGTTCTTCAGTCTAAATGTGGAAGCCTTACATTGTTTGCTGTCTTTCAAAGTTCAGAATTTTTCAAAGAAAGGTAGGTTATTAATTTGAGAAACTGTAATGTTTCCAGGCAAAAGGTGTATATGTTACTCATCCGATGAGAGATTTCCTATTTACATTTGTTGTTACTAATGTAGCATTCAGAATGTGTCAGGAGGAAACTGTTATTGTGTTGGATCAGATTCAAAAGGGGAAGTGTTTCCCTTTTGATAATTTTGTTCTGATCACACATTTCACAGCCTTAGTGAAAGACACTTAGTTGAACATCTGCAACTGGAGAAAGTGTACTCTACACTCCTTCAGATTGACTTGTTTAATTTTAGACTTCGAGCTGCATCTGTTTGGAATGAAGTTTCTTCCTAAGAATTTCAGCAGCCTGCCCCAGACCTGGCTGGCTCAGCGATGCCTGCCTGCTTTGATGCAGTTAGTGGAATCAATGATTCAGACTGAACTCAAGTCATTTCTATAATGGGAATGACCCAGATATTCTTGTAACCCTCAATCTGCTCTTTGGAAACTTTAGATTTCTATGGGTAGTTAATGCTGTAGATAAATTAACAAAAATAATCTTATCCATATACAGATTACTTAACTAAAATTGTTAATTTTGTATGTTCCAAGTTAATTGTTTTTGAAATCTTGCCAAAACTTTAAAGTAGTTTATTTCTGAGCTTCCCATCACTTCCTCCTCAATACTTTCATTGTGGCAAAACATATCATAAAATTCACCATGTTAGCCATAAAAAGTGATATATATTGTCCCATTTCAAAATTTTGTGTTTGAATATGTATTTTGTTTTTGGCTCTTTTATTCAAGACCTATTCTGAAGGACCTGCTACAATGCCAAGCAAGTATATTTGTTGAATAGAAGAATGAAAAACATTTGAATGATTAACTTCAGGTTTTAGAAATTTCTATAGACGTGGTCTATAGAACTTGAGCAAATAGTTTAATATTTTAAAAATATTTTGTATATATACATATGCATATAAATTATGTATAATTTAATTTTTGTTTGTTTGTCTGTTTTATGGTACCGGGGATCGAACTCGGGTCCTTGCGCTTGGGAGGCAGGTGGTGAAACCACTGAGCTAAATCCCCGGCCCTATAATTTAATTTTAAACACCAGTTCTCTAAAAGTAAATTCTGAGGCATATCCTGTGTGATGCATCCTGAGCTAGTCATTTCAGAGTCCTAAATACACCATATTTAGAGTTATCTCAGTAGTATTCATGTTGGTCTGTAGAAAAATGTCACAGTTGAACATCGAAAACCAAATGGGCCCTCTCAGGGCACAGTTTTCAGTGCAGTCATAGCAAGGAATGTGCAGCAGATGATTACCAACTGAACCTTTCTGAGAAAAATAGCTTCATTTTAATTTGGGCAATATTTTAGATTATTTTCATAAATTAAAAGTTATAACAATTGAACACATTATAAGTGGATTGACAGCTGGGTTTAAAGAAGACTTCTGTATACAATGAAAGAAAATTGTTTCACAAGATTTATGATTGGCAGCTTTGATGGGGATATAGATCCATCTACTGTGGGTAGCTGTATCAGTTCTGTGAGGCCCTGGCCCTTGTTGCCCACAAGCGAGATTTGGCAATTCAGAGCCCTCTTCTAATAGAACTATTTCCTACAAGACCCAAGACACACTTTTCTGGTGCGCCTGTGTCCCTGCGTGCTGTCCACTGCAGTTGCTGCCTGCCGGAATCCAAGCTGTCTGCTTGTGCTCTTCCAGGGAACAAGAGACCCGCTGTTCTTGACTGGTGTCATATTTCCATCCGAGTATCCCATCTATGAGGAGACCAGCATAAAACTGACTGTCTATGATGTCAAGGATAAATCTCACGACACGGTGAGTACATACCCTTCTTCTGTCTTGGAGACAGGGAGTCAGGCTCTTTCGATGTATTGCACTTCTGATGCGACTGTCACTTCTCAGAGAGCTTATTTGTACTGTTTAATCTTGTCTTGTGCTCATAGTGGGCCGGGTATTTTTCAAATTAATTTGATTCATGAACACATTGGTAATTTGTTGGGAGCAAAGCCTTTCTGAATAGATTTTTCTCTTTTTCGGAAAAAAAAAAACATTAACTTGATCCATTGGTTTACTTTTTATGGGGGTGGTTGTTGCTTTAAGATAAAAGGGGTAATATTGTGGGCAGAAAGCAAATAGCAGAGATTAAATAATATTTCACAATTTTCTACATGTAATGATCTAAAACAGGGGTTTGACAAAATACTCTTACAATTTACTCTTTCGCCTACTGTATAGAATCTATTGTTTTCTGGTGTTGTTACTACAGAAAAGCCAGTAGAAAAATGTAACAAGAAGCACTAGGTAGAAGTTATAACTGACTTTTTTACATTAAATGTAAAGTCCCAGGGGTCTTTTATCCCAGATACTTCGGTTTTCTTACCTGATCCAAATTTCCTTCCATCTGAGTCATCTCTTCTGGTTATGGTTAGGTACTGGGAACGACTCCTGGGGCTCACACTTACAGTTCCTGGGCTGGAGAGAATGTGCTGGGGTGATGTTGAAAAGAGAGGGCAGCCTCTCCTTTCAATTGCTCCCATGAGCATCCACTTCAGTGTGTTTTCATGCCAGGGGAGCCATGGGAAGTCTCATTACCATCGACCATTTCTAGAGTAAAGCATGAGGCAGGAGAGCCTGGATGTCAGGTAGGGCATGGCTTCAGGAGGCTTCTGCTGGAAGCTCAGGGATGCTGCTAGGCCTGAAGGACCACAAGGTACCTCCTACAGGGGAAAGGCAGCTTTACGCTCTGCCCGTACTTAAGCATTTCTGTTTTTCTTGTGATGACTCCTCTTCTTTTCAGTTTTTATTGCAAAGCATATAACATAAGTAGAAGCAACTTGCATTTACTCTAATGCTGGGGATATTTAGTAGAAGAAAAGTGATCTATACTGAAGGCATTTTCATTCTTCTTAGTTCCAGAAATGTTCATTTTCTCTACAACTGGACAGTAAGTTATCAACTAAATGCCCAGTGTGTACATGGGGTATAAATATTTGAGGGATCAGGTTTAGTTATTTTAAGGCAGGTTCTATGGCCACACTGGATTTATTTCTTTTACTAGCTTTATATCTTTGAGAGAGTTAAGTTTAGTTGTTTCTGGTTTCTTTATAATATTTACCTTGTGGGGCTGTTATAAGCATCAGATAGATTGCTGTATGTAAAATGTTTTAAGCCCAACTATTACTGAGTTGATAATAAGTCATGGCTATTACTGCTATTATTATTTTGATTACTGACTCACAGTTCTTCATAAGTATGAAAATCAAAAAAACTAATAAAATCATTTTCTGGATTGACTGTGTTATTCTTAAAAAGTCTTACATTTGTTGTTTCTGTTAAAATTGCCTTCTTTGAAAAAGAGGCAAGAATTTTGGTTAATGCCACAATGGAAAATGTTGGCATGGGAGTTTTGTGTTTTCCTTCCCATTCCTCTTGATTGCTGTGACTATTAAGTCTGTGTGGAAAAGCATCAGTCTCATGGTGGAACATCTGGACCAGGTTTGATGGATTGTGCACAGTGCTCACATTTATTGCTTTTTGTCGTTGTTTTGGCTCTGGAAACTGAACTCATAGAGTCTTCACAGAGTTGCATCCCCAGCCTTTTAATTTTATTTCTTTAAACAAATTTAATATAATATCTCTCTAAGCCACTATTTGCCTAAAGTGGGCTGGAACTTGTGCTCTTCCTGTCTCAGCCTCCCAAAATTCTGTGATTCAGGTGCGTACCCCCATGCTCTAAGCTTTATTCTTGTCTTCTAATCTTTTATCAAAAAAGGGAGAAATGGATGAAAAGGAAGAAAAATTACAAAGTGGAGGACTATGGAGATCTAGTCGAAATGGATGATGATGTTGGATAATAAAAATGTGCAGAGAAGTCATAAAGCAGAGAATGATCTAGATGGAGGGAAAGCAGGCAAAAATCATGGGATTGTATGTTTGGCAAAGCACGTGATTAAACTCAACCTTCCTACAGTCCCAAGGTACAGATGGGACAGGGAACATGGAAGGAGCCATGTTAGAGGAACATTATGTTGCAGAAATGCAAATGTCACTCCTAAATGCGTGGATTTATTATTTAGAAAAATCAGAGTTAGAGTAAGTACCAAAGGTGTTTTTATCGCCTTTCATCCCCTTCATTTCTATGTGTACATTCGTAAGTGTGCTTTAGAGATAAGTAATTTGCTTACTCATTAATTATGCTTTTTGTTGACTGCAGTTCAAGAAACTAATTATCTGGGGTCTTTTAAAGACTTTCTTCCTTGATCAGAAGTGTTAATCACATAAAAGTATTAGATGAACTGAAACCACTGCTGTGAAATAAAATTTCTGAAATTTGAAAATACTTAAGAAATACAACCAGCTTTTATTTACCAGATGCTGTTAATTAAAACATAACCTCTTCCTTAAAATAGCTAAACATTCGCTCTGATGGTGGATGTGTAAATAGAAGCACAGTTCATTAATATTCAAATAGTCACTGTGGACTTGTAGTCTTTATCCTGGCATCTTGCTTTTTCTCCTGTCTTATGCTTTCCTTTGAGGTGGTTGGTGAGGGGAGGAAGCAATCTAAGTACAGCTTAGATAGTAATTGTGAGCACTTAACAACCTAAATACTCGAAGAGCATCATATTTCTAAGGCACAAAAAAATTAGATTGGGAATATTTGTATGTTTTGGAAGATTAATGAATCATACGCCTGTGCATATATAAGAGTAATTTAACTCTTTGGTTCTAGCAAATGAATTACTGATGACATTAGACTGACACAAAATAGTCAGCTATTCTGCACTGGTTGAGTGGTAATTAGCTGAGTCTGCTTACTTGGTTTTGTGCTTTCCTGTTGAATTTGACATTCCTCAATGATCACCAGTCAAATCGACAAGGTACTTTGCTATTTCGTGTTCTCTACATACACACTGGTGTTAGATGTTTTTAAAAAGAAGCGGCGACATTTTCCCTGGTCCTTGTTGCAGTTACTACCTTGCTGACTGGTTGTTGTATTTTTTTAAACAACAGAGCTTAAGGTTGAATGTCTTTTGACTTCAGCAGAAATGCAATTAATCATCATAATAAGTGAGAGGAGTGAAATGTTGGTTCAGAATGACTGCTGCTTCTTTGTCTACATCTGCCATCTTCCTGTTCGTGGAATTTGAATAGATGATACTTGGCAGGTAGGGCCGGGGTGAGATGAACAGGGATCTTGGAGTCCTCTTAGGATTTAAATGATGTTTTGTTTACTTTCTACATTATAAGTAAAGATACAATTTCCATATATCTTGGAGATGTGTGCCCCATTTAAAATCTCTCCAAAACTGAAACAGAAATGTTTTCACAATGTTATTTAAAGTAATCAGCCTTAGGGAGAGAGGCTGGGAATCAGATTCCCCAAATTGTGTAGTGGAAACTTCAGAGGAAAGGAAAAATTAGAAGCCACAGAACACACTGAATATCACTGTCAAAATTTGTCTCTTTCCCTTTTATCCTATTCAGTTTGGCATTTGAGGAGGTACACAAGGAGGCTCTGACAACACTCTTTCTGATGAAGGCCATCAAATTTGCAAGCATATGATTAGGTTACAATTATTTTTTGCCTGTGGTTGAAATTTAAATTTCTGTTCTGTTTTGTGGACGTGTACATTGACCCCATTCTTTTTGCTCTGGGGATAAATACATGTTCATTCTATCCTAAGCTCATAGCTTACAGGACAGAAAAAGCTTATAGACACTGAACATTTCTCAGGTGAGAATATATATCCTAAGACATCTTTTACTACCAATTATTAGCAACCCCCATATCAGAAACTTTCTGAAATTTTGACTTTATCAATATTAGATATAAAGTTTTCACCTCATGGGTGTTATATGCTCAGGGCAATTTAGTTCTAGGAAAGTTCTCTAAACAGAAGTATCCAGTTTCCTTTAAAATTTTCCATGGAAAATAAAAACATTTTAATTTTTACTATAATTACCTTCACTTGAGTTTCTAAATTGGTTTCTGAAGAATGTGAAGTTTATATGATATTGAAATATAAATTCTGTTAGCTGACCTTCCTGTCATCTGGAAGACACGATGCAGTGGTAAAGGAAAAAGAAATTGAGATTAACAATCACTTAAGTACAAACCAAATGCTATAGTTAAAGTATTATCTGTGATATCTACTTCAATCTCAATAAGAATCCTGTGAGGGAGTCATTATTAACCCCATTTTCAAGACGAAGAAGCTGGCATTCTGAAAAATACAGACCAAGTCATAGATCTTTAGTAATATCCGGGATACCCCAGGATATGTATATATTGGTAATAGGATTCCCTACACTCCAACCCCCACAGTATAATATTTTACTTCAACTGATGCTTTAAAATTTTTCATTTGATGCTTCAAAGTTGATTAATTGAGAAAATATCAGTATTCAAAAATAGGGGAAGTACCCATGTCCCAAATTGTTAAGCTTTTAAATTAAAAGTATCTGACTAATTGCAGATGTGCAAATAAGTTTTATAATGGAGCAGCCAACCGACATTCATGGAAAAAAAGTGGTTGTTATGACATCTTGTGAAATGCCTGAGTTTATGGCTCAAAGTTTTGCTTTATACCCAGGGCTTTGTTTCCCTTTTTATTTGGGATATTCCATGTGGACTTTTTAACCTGTTCATTCTCTGGACCGTTGCCTTTTGAAATACTCTTGTCTATGTTGTGATATTTTGCAAAGGAAGCTACAAATTCCATGTAGAAGATGCTAAGGCTCTAAAGGGTTGCTACCCTTCATAAATAAGTTCAGTTCCTTTCTACCTGTTGAAAAGTGGTATACATTGATTG